TGAAGTTTTTGACCAAATAGTAGAACCTGAGTTTTGCTTTCATTAAGGTGAAGAAAGTTTTTTTCCATCCATAATTTAACTTCAGCGAAACAGTTTAGCAACAGCTGAAGAGAATCATTTGTACCATTTTGTAATTTAAGGGGCAAATAAATCTGGATGTCATCTGCAAAGCAATGAAAGGAAATATAAAAATTTTTGGAAAATCTAACCAAGAGGCAGTAAATACAAGATAAATAAAATGGGCCCTAAAATTGACCCTTGGGGGACACCATATTTTAAAGGATTAGCCCCAGAACATGATTGGTCCAGATGAACAGAAAAGGTTCTGTTGTCTAAGTAAGATTTGAACCACTCGATTACTGAGCCTCGCAGGCCAACACAGTGTTTTAATCTATGTGAGAGAATCTGATGATCTACAGCAGGGGTGTCAAACTCCAGTCCTCGAGGGCCGCTATCCTGCATGTTTTAGAGGTTTTCCAGCTCCAACACACCTGATTCAGTGATTGAATTAACTCTTCAAATTGGGCAGAAGCCTGTTAATCACCCAGCGATCAAAATCTGGTGTGTTGGAGCAAGAAAACCTCTAAAACATGCAGGATAGCGGCCCTCGAGGACAGGAGTTTGACATCCCTGATCTACAGTGTCAAATGCAGAGCTCAAATCTAGAAGTAATAAAACTGCAACGTTGCCTGAATCAACTGTTAAGAGGAGATCATTATACACTCGGAGCAAGGCAGATTCAGTGCTATGAGCAACTTTAAACCCAGACTGAAACTTCTCAGTTATATTATAGTCTTTTAAAAACATTTCAAGCTGAATAAAAACTAATTTCTCAAGAATTTTAGATAAAAAAGGCAATTTAGAAATGGGCCTAAAATTTGCCAGGTCACTGGGGTCTAGATTAGATTTTTTAAGAATACGTTTGACCACAGCGTGTTTAAGAGTAGATGGGACATAACCTGACTGCAATGAGGTATTTATCACCTTAAGAATATAGCTGCCAAAAATCAGAAAAATGTCTTTTATCAGACGAGTAGGAAGACAGTCCAATGGATAATTCGAAGGCCGCAGATGCTTAATAACTAAAGTCAGTTCATCTATAAAAACTGGCTGAAAATGCTCCAGAATAGCTATGCATTGCGGCATTCCATGGGAATCTAAATCTACCAGCTTATTCAAGCCTCTAAGACCTTTATAGCTCAAATACAGTGGTTTGCAAAAGTATTCATACCCCTTGAACTTTTCTATATTTTGTCACATTACAACCACAAACATAAATATATTTCACTGGAATTTAATGTGAAAGACCAACACAAAGTGGTATACAATTGTGAAG